GCATTGATGAGAGTGCAATTAAATATACATGCCATTGTCTTCAGTTTTCAACATATTTTGAATATGTCATAGCACAGTGACAGTAGTGCCCAAAATCCTTAAATATTGATCTTTATATCAAAAGCTTGCACTCGGTAACAAATATTATCTTCAATGTTTAAATTGAGTTAAACAAAACATCAACCCAACTCACCTTCATCTAAGTATGAATCTTGTAAGCCTCCTCCAGATTTCTTAATTAGGTGAATGGCATCTAAATTACCACTGCCCTATAAGTGATGAAAATTCTAGTTAGTTTTCAATTTATCTCTGAACAATTTTTACCAAAATGAGTAAATCAATCGTACATTTTTTTTTGGCATAATCATTTAAGTCTGCTAACAAAATTTTAATTTCCAAATTTTTATATTATATTTATTAATAGGATAATCATATAGTGTATTATACATTAACAAAAGCTAAATAAAATTTCCTTCACTTATTAAACCAATAGCTATCATTTAGGTGTCTCAAAAAAAATATGACCTACAGTATAAGGTATCCTAGCTATACAAAAGTTATCTCATATATACAGTTGTAACACATTTTAGCAACCACCAAGTATATTTTCTGAGGAACATCAGTAATAAAATGAATATAATAAAAGTTATTATTAATTAAGATTTTTATTTCCACTTATTGCAAGAACATTAACTCTCACCATTTACAGACAAAATAAAAGATGCCACATAAATTAACAACAGACAATTTACTTCACAGAGCAATGCCATATTTCTTGACATACCTTTAACCTTAGAACTGCATCTACAGCCAGTTTAGAGAAGTGATCTTTGTACTGGGTGAGGATTTTGACATACCTTTAACCTTAGAACTGCATCTACAGCCAGTTTAGAGAAGTGATCTTTGTACTGGGTGAGGATTTTGGAGCTGAGGGTTGTACGGGCAATGTTCATCAAGTCCTCCCGGAATTTCTTCTCATTATTACTGAAAAGAGAAAATCAACAATATTATGCTAAACAAGAGATGTTTGTAAAACACTTACGCCCCCCTTCCCCCAAATGATAGGAATTGTTTTAAGTCTTAGGTGCATAACTCTGCCCAAAATGGCCTAATTGTACCCCCAAAAAACAATTGACCTAGATATCATTACAATAAATCTGTGTACAAAATTTCATTTCAATATGTGCAACCTCTACAAAGAAAATGAATGGAAACTGATAGTGGACCAGCAGACAGACAGCAGCAATGCAATATGCAGTGCTTCCCCTTTATTTCAAAGTTAAGGGTTAGAGATCAATTGTAACAGGCTAAGGGCTGAGGTTTATGTACAAATTAACTATAGACCTTACAGTAATTTAATTTTGAAAGCAGCATTTTTGTTAACTGAAGCAGTCAATTTGGCCATTTAGTTGGTTCTTGAGAAAAACACTGAATATCAGGGGTTGACACTAACTTTTAAACCATAGTTGTCAGCAGGGCTAGCCATTTCTAATTTCTACTAGCCCTGTTCATGCATTAGTTGTCTAGCAGCCAAAGGCTCGTGGCCGAGTCGCGAAGCGATGAGGGGGGTAGTATTGGAGGGGGTTTCCCCCTCCTGCTGGTGGGGGTACGGGGGGCCTCCCCCGGGAAATTTTGAAAATAGAGATGCCAAATCCTGCATTCTTGCTGTAATTTGGGTAAAAATTATATGTCACCCTATGATTGTACCTTAGACATTTTTCTATTCGAAGAAGTACACATATATAATCATTTAGAATATTTCGAATCACCTTTAAATTTTACAATTTTGACATACAAAAATAATAATTATGATGATAAAACATGTTTGAAAATAGATTTAATAATTATTAGATACATTATGTGTAATTGATAATTATATTTGTTGCTCTGAGTGAGTACTTAGTAAAATTCTTAGTAGCCCTGCAGGGCAAGTTTAAAGGCATGTTTGGTAGCCCGACCTCAATATTCAGTTGTCCCGGGCCAGCGGGCTACTGTTAGTGTCGAACCCTGAATATGTCCTACTCTCTTCAGAGGGGGGGGGGGGCATAAAAATAAACATACTTTGGTTCAATCTGACATGTGTAATTATGTTCCCCAAACGAAGTTGGGGAACATATTGTTTTTACTCTGTTTCTTATTATTATTATTTTTCTTCTTCTTCCTGGGTACTTTTTTGTCCGGGAATGATCTTGTAAACTGTTCATCCGATGTAGGTAAAACCTTTTTAGAGTTAGTAGACATGTTATGTAGATATGCCTAGTCAAGGTCATTTTGCGCGCACGTGCTTGCAAGAGCGCGCACGTGCAACACAAGAAATGATCAATATAATTGATATAGACTTACTTTCTCAATTTTTGATGAAATGCGTTGAAACTCATATTGAAATGATATATTAGTAGCATAGACAAGATGACATGGTCAAAATAGCAAGGTCTCACGCGCATGCACGTGCGCTTTGCTCTGATTGGCTGAAACTAAAGTCTCAATATCTTTCTTGTTTTTTGACGAAATCCTTTGAAATTTTGAACATAGTCATGTATTACGATATCTTACAACATGATATATAGCAATTATCATGAAAACACGTGTATGCACGTGCACTGCAATCTGATTGGCTGAAACTTTAAATAGCTATAACTCCCTCGGTTTTCAACCAAACAGGATGGGATTTGAAACATAGATATATATAATGGACTTCTACAAGAAGGCATGATCACCATGCACATGCATGCATGCATGTGCGTGTACGTGCGCTGCAATCTGATTGGCTAAAACTTTAAACAGCTTTAACTCCCTTGGTTTTGAACCAAACGGGGTGAGATTTAGAACATAGATAGATGTAATGGACTTATACAAGAAGGTATGGTCACCAATCACCATGCTCATGTATGCACATGCGTGCACGTGAAATGGGTAAAATTAAAAATACACTTGAATGAGCGTTTTTTTTAAATACTTTTGGATTAAATACTTTAATATTTAGCATATTAAAATATATAGATTGTGTAGACAATATGATATGGTCATTACGCACATGCATTCACATGCGCAAGTGTGCAATGATAAAATTTGAATGAACATAGTACACTTTTGGGTAAACGTTGATAAAGTCTCAACTGCATAGAGTTTGTCTTATTTAATTACGCTTACAGGGAATATGACTATAAAAGGGAGTTGGGGAGCGTTTGGGGAACATCTGTAACGGTCCCCGTTACAATTAGCACTAGTTTGTATTATATACAAACCAGAAAAACAGGATACATTTATGAAAAAACAGTCAGGTATGTTATTGTCTCCTGATCTCTTTTACTTAACAATTCAATGAAGATGAAGTTCAATAATGATGTAAGAAGTTACCCATTATCTCTGGCAAAGTTCTGTAGAGCTTTCCTGGCCTCGTCGGTGGCCTTCCTCCAGCCTGATACAATGGTCTGAGGGTGGATCTTCTGGGAAATTAACGACTCAGACTCCTACAACAGGAAGGCAAAGATCAGACGAAGCAACGCCAAGGGGCGCAATTCCAAAAATAGTCAAAATTTTTAAAATTTTACATGGAGAACATTGTGAAACGAGGCAAATTCCTTTTGTCCTTATTTTCTAAATCTTTGAAATAATAAAAATTTTATGAAAAATTTACTTCATCTTAAGGAATGCAGGATTTAGAGATCAGCTGACATTAGAGGGAAAAAATTATGATTATCTTGAATAAAACTTTTTTAAAAAAAATTATAAATATCTTCAGGACTTCAAATGAATTTAAGACATCAGAACAATTACTTAAAATTTTACCTTGAAATATAAAAAGATTCCTCATACTCTGAGCATTGGGAATATTAATCATGTTAATTCAAACTTTTAAATGAACAAAATAGAAGGTCGTACCCTCAATAATTCACTGGCCAGGACCACCACAGATGTGGTTCCATCTCCCACCTCATCATCCTGAACTTTGGAAATGTCTACAAAAAAAAAAAGGAAATTCCAAAATTATTAGTATGTTAACTTTTCCTTAAATTTCTTCTCTTTTCCCTACACTTGTGTTCCTTCAATGCAAGCTTTGCTTGGTCAAATGTTCTCAATAATAGAGAAGTAACTTTTCAGCAAATGTTCATTTTTTAAAGAGAGAGCAAATTAAAATAAATGCCTTGTAACAGTGAAATAATGGTAGCTTACCCACTAAGATCTTGGCTGCTGGGTTGTCAATGCCTATAGATTTTAGAATTGTGGCTCCATCATTTGTAACTTGTATTCCACCAGAACTTTGTAATATTTTGTCCTGTAAAATTATGAAGTTAGCCATTTTACATCTATTTGGGAGATATTTTGACGCTGTATGACATATTTCATAGGAAATCGTTTATGTGCACATATTTCATACTGGGTCAGCTGACATGAGTGGTATTAAATATCCAATTTCTCAAAAAAGCATTGAATTATTAGTATCATGGGCATATCAAAATAACCTGCTTACTTTGTAGATTCTACACACACCAAAATTATATTCATGAAATGCTGAAACCAAAAAATATATCATTTGTTTTGTTGAAAATGCAGCGCTTTTTTCACGTTTATATGTTACAATCAAGTGACTGTCAGACTGCACTACTGCATTGGATGTTGGAATTAGATTTAATACAGATTTTTTTTTCTGATTAGAATAGAAAAATATATGGATTTACACTCTGAGTAGTGTTTTTTAAAAAAGAATTATTAAAAAATGCATTTAAACGAAAATAAAATAAATCAAGCGTTCATAACTTACAGTGTCCACACTGAACGCAATAAAAAAAAGGAGTTGTTAGAAAACATCAAATGCATTTGAATGCACATTGAATGGAAAATAAATCAGTTTGATTCGTATTTTAAAGACAAACAAATTATCGTTGCAATAAAACTATGTGTAGTATTTAAAAGTGAAATTAATCACAGCCTCTAAGTCGCGCGTCCACTTGTTATGAACGCTAAACATGTAGCTAGAGAACGAATACTTTGAGTACACGACTGAAAAACGTGTTCTAGATTGAACTCATGTGTACACAAAGTCCGGTGACGTAGATCGCAAATATGTGTACACAACCATGTGTTCAATGACGCTTACTAAATAGCAGTGTCCCAAACTGTCAAAGCTTGTTATGAACGGAAGCTAAGGTGAGAATTTTCTTTTTATGGTGTTAAAGGGCATTTATGGTTTGAAATAAGTGAAATGGCATAAACTCTAGTGTAGTATGAACATTTATTCATCGATATAAGGAAGCGATATGGGTGTTTGAGAAAATTAAAGCCAGAAATACTCTTGAAACGAAACGACAAACGCCATGCAGCATGTGTCCTTTTTATGAACGACAGTGTAATTTTACTGTACGGAACATAATAACAGTTTTGGCATGCTTAGACTAAAGACATAAATGAAATTTGTATCTGACACAAGAACAAATGCTGATCTCAGTGCAAGTCAGAACACAAAAAATGGTTTTAGACTTTTAACTTTTGTTCATAACAGAGACGGCTCCAACTTGTTTTTGACATGCATCTAACGTTATGAACGAATAAAGAAGGCCAAATTTTCTGCTTTAAAATTTGACCAGTGATACACACAGAAAATAAAACTAATTAAAATCTCTAAGACAATCAATTTGAGAGAATTTTGCTTTACTTAAGTATCACAAGGTGTGGGAATTTTAAAAAAAGGTATTGTTCATAACAAGACCCTGTAATGGATGTGCAGTTTCCAGAGTCCAAATTATGAACAGAAAACCATTTGAATAGTTTGATTCAGAATTATTATTCTGTAAATTTGCAATTTCATTTTGAAAAAAATAGATTAATATTTTATAATAAAATGTTTATAAGCAGTAACAAACATAAAATTTAATGATTAAACAAATCTGCAATTGTTCATCATACGGACACAAATTGTATAATTTTTTTTGTAGTCTGTTGTTATGAACATCTATATAAGACTTTTAAAAGATAGATTTTAAAGATTTATTAAAATAACTGAAGAATTTTACTTGACTGGAAGGTTTAAGTTAAAATGAGGTTTTAATATTGTTGTAGCATGGGGTGAAAAAATATATCAGGAACTTGGTTTGTTCATAACATGGACACTTGTGACACAACAAGAAATAGTTTTCATGCTTCATTATCACAAGGCTTAATTACATCTTTGTCTTACTATGCCATGTGTTATTTTTCAGATGATGGAGTCTGTAGGAAAAAGAAAGTGTCAGAGTCAGAAAAAGAGTCGGCCAGAAGAGGTACAGAGAGAGACTGAAAATGCAGGGAAAGGCAAATAATGAGTGGAAACCTGAAGACAGCGTAACACTTGTGAGGAACAGCACAAAAAGTGGAGAGAACATAAAAGAATATGAACCACAAGTGGCACTGAGTGGAGAGCCCCAGACCAAAGAGGGCCCAGCCATTATAAGTCAACCTGAGAAACCACAAGTCGCACTTAGTGGAGATCCTCAGACCATAGAGGGCCCAGCCATTTGAAGAGCCCAATACCAGAGAGGGCCAAGCCATTATAAGAGCTCCAGACCAAAGAGGGCCCAGCCATTATAAGTCAACCTGAGGAACCACAAGTCGCACTTAGTGGAGAGCCTCAGACCATAGAGGGCCCAGCCATTTGAAGAGCCCCATACCATAGAGGGCCCAGCCATTATAAGAGCTCCAGACCAAAGAGGGCCCAGCCATTATAAGTCAACCTGAGGAACCACAAGTCGCACTTAGTGGAGAGCCCCAGACCATAGAGGGCCAAGCCATTATAAGAGCTCTAGACCGAAGAGGGCCCAGCCATTATAAGTCAACCTGAGGAACCACAAGTCGCATTTAGTGGAGAGCCCCAGACCATAGAGGGCCAAGCCATTATAAGAGCTCCAGACCGAAGAGGGCCCAGCCATTATAAGTCAACCTGAGGAACCACAAGTCACACTGAGTGGAGAGCCCCAGACTATAGAGGGCCCAGCCATTATAAGAGCCCCAGACCAAAGAGGGCCCAGCCATTATGTCAACCTGAGGAACCACAAGTGGCACTGAGGGGAGACCCCCAGACCATAGAGGGCCCAGCCATTATAAGTCAACCTGAGGAACCACAAGTGGCACTGAGTGGAGACCCCCAGACCATAGAGGGCCCAGCCATTTGAAGAGCCCCATACCATAGAGGGCCCAGCCAACAAATTTCAATTGGTTTGATCAAAACTGTATATACAGTTATTTTTTTTATTTCTTTTCAGATTTGTAATTTGGAAGAAGAATATTTTTGAAATGTAATAAATTTATATTAAAACAGTTATTGAAAATAATTTGTCTGTTGCTTTTGTATCATTGGCATCCCAGGATAACTTTCAAGTCATTCACATACATGGTTGTTGGTCACACACGATATTGCTCTGGAATCTCCTCTGCAGGCTTGGTGATACTATTTCCAACTAATAGCTAATATGCATGAAATATATTACCAGAATTACTGCGGATTGGAATATATGTTATAACAAGTAACATGCAACAGAAGGTGGTTGAGTTAAAATGTGAATAAAGGAAACATCACTACCACTCCGGCCTTTTAGTGTCTTGGTTATGAACAATAAAATGAGGAAATTTTTTTGCAATAAAATTTTCATTAACCAGTAAAAAGCTTAAAACATTACAATAAAATACATGGATGACAACACAGTATGTAAGGATGTGCATGTTCAGCAGGAGACTTTAAGGAAATTTATTCACTGTAAACTTCTTATACCGATAATGTTGTTCATAACGGTGTCTTAAGTAAATCATTTCAGAATTGTTACAATAGGGAGTTGAAATTTGAATAATTAGTTTGTAAACTGTTACATATTACATATAGGAGAAGAAAATGAATCTTTAACATTGAATAACAATTTTGTTCATTCATTATCACAAACTGAAAGACACTTGTTATGAACACAAGAAAACGTGAAGTTGCATTTTCAACCCTTTGTCAAACAAAAACTATGAATACTCTAGGTCTGATTTTCAAGATTTTGAAAGTTAGATGTCAGAACAACAGAAATATACCCCAAAGTTTCTGATTTAACAACTTTTATTTTTGAACATATTTGTAACATTCATGGGACCAGTATCAGATATGTGCACTTATGCTTTTCATCATTGTAGGAAAGGCAGAAGTAAAGAAAATTCATACCAGAATTTTAAACAATTTTTTTTTCAATCTTTTCTTTATTTCAAGAAATGAAAACATCTCAAATTAAATTTGAATTCTCCTTTGAAGAAATACCTGAATATCATACTTGTACAGAAAAATAAAAGAACAAAAAGTTATATTTACCATTCCCTTTGGACCCAGTGTGCTCTTTACGAGATCTCCAATAGCAATAGCTCCCACGAAGGAGGACTGAAGATATAATATATACAATATATAGCAAGCAAAGTTTCTGATTAAATTTAACATTACAGTAAATGTTACTCTATTTTTGACATTTACACTTGTATTAAAATGAAAGTCTTTTAGCCAATTCTTTGATAAATTGTACTTTTCAAACAAATTGAAGGGAAATAAACCTTTAATTTTCAAACTCATACATTGAAATCAAATAAAAGTGGCTAAAAATATAAACTGGGAAATGAGATAACCTCCTATATTTTCTGGAGAATACTGTTTTGATTCTGGGTCATGAAAAACTTCTTTAATTTATATTATTCTATGACATATCTGTCATTTACCAGTCTGGCAGTTTCTGCCTTTTCCTCTTCTGCCCCTGCATTGAAGATCTGTACTGGATTCAAGGACACCTTCAAATAAAAGTTTGAACACAGTAAGAATCTGTTGGCTTATTTTACTGCAACTTTGATACCATCTCTGTCATTTTCATTGCTTGGAGCAGATGGAACTAAAATATACACTGTAGTACAACATTTCACAATCTGATAAACTTTGATTTATAAATGTAATACCTATATGTTTAGAACAACATAGTCACAAAGAAGACCTTTATAAGGATTTAAGATTACCTGAGTGTATACATGTATTTCATTTCAATTACACTGTATCATGTATTATATTTTAAGGTATGGCACAATCTCTTGATTAAGCTAATGATGCTAAATACAGCGGCGGATCATAATATTATAAACAAAATGGCGTTGTCGCGTTATTAGCAACACACGGATCCGGTATATAAAAAAACGATTTCTGCATTATAAACAGATTTGTATAAATGAAACTTACCTAATATTTTGTGGCATACCCCTTTGATCTTATAATCTTGATCATTCGTTGTGGAAGTGATCTGTAAAGGTTCCGTATATAATGAATGGGGATGGTGGTCCATATTCTCCGAATTTCTTGTTCTAGATCCGCTGCGTTGGTAATTCTGTTTGCACATTTTTTAAGCTGATTTTTCAACAAAAGCCAACAGTTTTCAATTATGTTAGCATCCGGAGATTGGGCAGGCCACAGCATTCCTCGAATATTATTTTCAGTTTTGTAATTTAGCACAATCCTTGCGCGATGTACTGGCGCATTGTCATCTTAAAAAATAAAGTCATTCTGTGGAAAATGGTGGGCAACAACTGGCCACAGTTCATTATCAATTATTTCCCTGTACTTTTCAGCATTGATATTGCCATTGACAACTGTCAGAGTACCTGGTCCATTCCAGCAGATACACCCCCAAATCATTAGACTAACCTTAGCGCCACGACCGGGGCTAATGCATTGCGGCATCCACTCCTCTCCAGGTCTCCGCCACACATATACGCAATTATTTTCTCCAATAATCACCTTACATTCATCAGAAAAAATAACACGATTCCAGTCACCATCAACTTTCCAATGCCTTTTCCCCCTAGCCCACTCGACTCGTTTCTTTATGTTTACATCTCGGATTCGTATGTTTTTTCTTACAACTCGTCTATGGTATTTATTTTGGAACAAACATCTTTTTACAGTTACTTCTGAAACAGTATCCCCCCTAAACTGGTTGAATCTGGCAGTGATATCTTTCAGAGGTTCGACACGATGTGTTTTTACTAACCTCAAAATTGACCATTCGTCCTGCACACTAAGTTTTTTCTTTCTTCCCATTCTAGGCTTATTCTCCACCGAACCCCGCTCCTGATATCGCTTTATAACAGCACAAACTGTACATCGGTTTAATCCCAGGCACTTTGCAATTTCTGATTGTTTTATTCCACTCTGAAAACTATGTACGATCCTTTGTTTTAAGCTTGGTGATAAATCTTTCGCCTTTCCCATTCTCTGTTTACATACAGAATGACGTAATTCATTGCATCACAATCATGATACGTCATATCTTATTATAACATAATATGTCATTTAACCCAGTCATGTGCCCTTTTTATTCAAAAATGCAAATTGAGAGGAGCTACAGATAAATAAGAGTGAACGTTTCTTTTTAACCGCAATTGGAACGCCATTTTGTTTATAATATTATGATCCGCCGCTGTAGCTTGATTTAGCTGCAAAGTTTTATTAAGCTATCCAGAAATGGCAGAATAGCTTGATTAATCTTTTTTATCAGACTTTTTCTCAAATGTGTTATTTTTTTTCAACATGTGCAAAAAGTCGCACCTTGGTGAAGTAGAAATAATAAACTTTGAACTCTTCTGAATACAGTGAGATATTTTTGATAAAATCATCGAGGAAAACTAGAACTGTCCAATAGGGACAAATACCCCCCGCTTGGTTTTTCAGAGAAGGTGCCAATTCAAAAATACTTTATGGATCTAGAGATGTTCACAATTTACTTAAAAAAATTTGCAGTGAGATATAATTGCTCATCATGTTTCTTAATGAATGAAACGGAGGTGCAAACAAATGAAACATCAATACTAATACATTGTAATTCCATTGAAACATTTTTTTTAAAATTTTTTTTCATTTAATTTTTCTTTATTACTGCATAAAAATAAAGTGCCACGCCACAGCATGATACGCCCGTCAAAAAAATACAATTACAATGTATCTTAAACAGTTAAAAGTGCAGGAAAATCATGTCAACCTTGATTTTTAGATTTCAATGATTTTTACACACCTTAAAAAATTTGTTTATCTATCTCCTGTGGTGTAGGCATTAATTATAACAAATATTGCATCATTCATAGATTTCTATACCTTGCCAAATGCCTATCATATTTAAAAATATCAAATTAGTCTTCACAACGTAATCTACACCTAATTAATTTTGGAAATAAAAGACTGGCCATCAAATATAAACTGACCAACAGCTCTTCTTTTAATTCCCGAAGGATACAGATTAGACCATGCTCTGAAGAAATGAAAGAGATTCCTATATTGAACACATTAATTAATCTTTAACTGGATGATTGTCTACTCATTACTCCCAAAAGATTATTGGATCTGCGCTATCTACCATAAAACATTTTTAAAAGATATAAAACTTTAATGATTTATTTTTTGGATTTAATGTCAGACAGTTAATTGTTAATATGCAATTCATGTGGACATGCAGATTCCACCCCTACCACCATAAAGTTAATTTTTAAGTTCATAATATTATGTAATATCAAAATAGTTAATATGCAATATCAAATTTGTTTTAATTACTTCTCATCAAATTCATTTTCAAACTTCGGCTACCTAAC